GAAAGTATTTGCCTAGTATTATGAGGTGGTTGAGGGTCAAACGGTGAGTACAAGGACGAGTAATTCCAAAGAATACCTCTGGCTCGGAGAGAAGTAAACTCGCGTTACTTACGGTACAATACCAACTTTGGAACTTATACCAAAAGGAAGACGCTTGCGGACAGCTAATAAACAAATGACGTATGTTTTGACTATCAGAGGGACAGAAAGGGCAGAATGGGGAGGCAACCTTGTTCATTTTGTATAATATACTGTTCGTGGCTAAAATGTTGTGTATAATTTTGTGTAAATTAAGGAGGTACGACTGTTGACTGACATCGCTGGATTTCAGACTAATTAATTTCAAGCTATTCATTAAATCAGTAAATTAAGAGACAACAAGAGATATAATTTGTATGAACAATGATATTTTCTCCCACTATATATTATACCTGGATTACCCAGGAGTTATTACTTAAACTACTTCGTAGAGGCCCGGGTGTAAAAATTATACAGTATGGTCTAAAATATATTCTGCACATAAACCAAATACTCTTACATTGTAGATAGTTTTCCGACAGGTCGCCTTGGCTCGATTTTTAGAGCCAGTTTGCTTCTTGACCTTCTTGCTTTAGCTTTTTACGGGCGCCATAAGGATTAAACTTGATGCAATCACAAACTGTACTACGAGATATGAAGATTAAAAACGAGATCTTAAAACACTTGTAAACACTGCTTTGTCACGTCGCGATCCTGCTCTAGCTAACTCTATAAATTCATGATAACACATTGGTGATTGCTAAAAATACGAAGACGTTGTAATGTAAAAAGAGAGGAATTTCTCCCGATCAAGAAAATAAATAAATAAATACGCATTTTAAATAACGCGTTATAACCATTGGATACCATTATGGGCAATGAATTCGGCAACTTTAATTGTTTTCTGGGCCTATATTTCATCACGTGATATATCAGGGCTATTTTTAGTTTAAATTTCTTAGTAGCAAAACGTCCCCACTTTTTACATCGTCTAGATGGCTGGCGTTAGCTTTGTAATGTTAAGACTATTCCGAACATCATTTCTGCGCCCTGACTTTTTGAGAAAATTTAGAATAAAGATATGAAATAAGAAATCGCTTTTATTGGGAGACTGGGCACTAGTACAAAATGCCGCTTATTTTCAAATTTAATGAAATATTTAAGAAAGTGCGGACACAGATCTTTTGTTACTACCTTTTTGAGCTACCTAGGGGCATTCAAGTTGAATGGCTGTTAGTATTAACTGGTGCCATTTTCGCTCAAAGGTTTTTCGGAAGTTTTTAGCCGTAAAAAGTCGCGTGACTTAATTTTCATATATCATTCGGCCAGATAAATTTGGCAAAATTTGCAAACCTGTTAGACTGGAAAAGTTTTAGATCAGTGTGGCTAAAGTGTTAGAAGATAGACCATCCCCTAACGTTTTGGTGCTATAAAGGGAAAACGTCTTACCTGCGAATTACTCGAAGACCCAACTGATATGCTATGATTTCACGAAACAAAATCAAAACCGTGGATAATTTCAAACATCAGTAAAAGATGGATTTCAAACGATTTATGTAAAGGTGGTCTGAACTTACTCGAAGACCCGTCCGATATGTTATCATTTCACGAAACAAGATCAAAACTGGGGATTATTTCACATATCATCAATAGAGGGATTTCAAACGATTTATGCGAAGGTGGTCTAAATTTACTCGAAGACCCACCCTAATATACTAACATTTCACGACAAATATTTTAGTGAAACTGGGATTTCGAGAGATATGTGAATAGGGACTTAAAGCCCGCAAACGGGGGGGGGGGGGGGGGGGGGGACGGGGTTTCCCCGCTTCTGAAAATGAGATTTCTCTTTTCATCGGGTTTTAAGAGACCATCATAATAATTGTGATGATCTCTCAACTCGCTGTACAGTAAATTGGAGAAACGTATGCGAAAAATGTTACATCTGTGCGGGCCAAAGTGTCCCACCTTGTGGAGTTTATCCCCCGTTCTGTAACATTAAAAGCGACTAGGAGTATTTCTACTCCTTTAAGGATGGGATAATAGTCCGTCACAGGGTTACCCCTCAGAATTAAATTTGCCGGCACCGATTTATTCACCTGGAAGGAGAGAGGCACCGTGAGAGTAAATTGTCTTGCCTTGGGGTCGGATATCGGACCAATGATAGCGCGTCGCACAACAACAACAATAACCCGTCAAACAAACAGGGAACAATGCAGTATGGCCTTACGCCAGCTTTTTACNGGGGGGGGGAGCGGGGTACTCTACAGAGTTCTATACGGGCAGGCTCCGCCCCGAGGTTCAACACTTTACCCTTTTGTACACTATTTTGACAGAAAAGGTACCCCTTTCAAATACCTTAAACTGAAAAAAAAGATAACCCCTTTCACATACATTCTTAACTAGTACTGGCCCGTATTATGAATAAATCGCCAAAAAGAGAAAGTCTTCTAGTCATTTTCATGTAGGGCCTAATAAATGAAGTCACACAGCCATAAGGTACGACTTGACCCTTTAGAATAACTGACAGATTTCCCCACCTTCTCACATACCTCAACTTGTGAAATCCCTACCCTTTTATATACTGTAAGCCTGAAAAAGGTAGCCCAAGCGATCGGAGCCCCTCCGTATAGGCATTATTGGGAGTACTACCCTCCGGGACTTATAGATCTCTAAACCTTACCGAATATGCTACCAATATAGATTATAATAGATATACGCACGCCAGTGAGATCTGATATTACAAAAAGACGCGAGAGATATGCAATATTTCTAAGGGGTTTGGCCAAAATCCTTAGTCCAAGTTTGAGAATGTTTGTGTCCGTGGTAACCTCCTTGTTTATTTCAGTCGCAAGAACTTTCATCTGGTTGTGGATGAAAGCTACAAGCCCGTCCATTTCACATTGGGGGAATCTATCTTCGAAGTTGAAAGACATGCCTTGAACATATGAATCTCCATCGTATGACGAACCTCCTTCAAAGAAATTGTCTCCCAGTGAAGCAAATATCAGTTCGTCATCTTCAGGATCATACTCAGTCAAGTCCTCGCCATGTTCTTCAACTCCAACTCAATGCGATGAAACAAAGCCCTCTCAGCCCTCAGGAAAACATCCATTGACAAAATCTAAATCTGCTGATGGTAAGGTAATTGTGTCTTCCCCGACGCCAAAACGTTCCTCTGAAGGATCCTCTCGTCTGACTGTTAAAAAAAGGAAGTTGTCTTGGTTGTCAAACAAACGTTAGGCCGACACGCCCCGTAAAACTGAGGATACGATAGCACAACAACCCCCGAAATTGTCTAAAGAATCCGTGACTCAATCAGCAGTCTCCGTCGTCTTCCACTAGCAGTCCGACAACACCATCTTCCCAGTTCACAACTGGCAAGTCGAAGGAAGATTCATTGTCAGCAGCAAATACTTCCCATTCACCCAATGCGCCATCGATATTTTCTGCCTCTAAAAGAATGGCATCATCTTCAACATCATCATCCGCGTCTACTCCAGCCGCCACAGCTCGTTTCCAGTGTCCAGAATGTGGCTTGACATTGAGCAATAGAAACTGCCTATACAAGCATAAGTTACGGAAACATAAATCGACCGTGAAAGAGGTTAAAGCACCGATAAACAAGCATATTGTTTGTCCTGAATGCAAAACAGCCGATTTCAGGTATATACCCTTGACAAACTAGATTTTCTCTTGTGAACGTTGCAAACGTCCTGTATTTCGCGCTAAAACGGTATAAAAAGTCAGTTGAGATAAAGCCAGTGCTGAGCAAGCGGATAATATACCGGGATAATATATCAATTTCTGCTTTTCTTGAATGGCGTTTTCTCTCTCTAACCAAAACATACTTTCACTATTATAGCATTGCTTAAACGTATGTGCGGTATAAGCCTATTTTGATACATGTATATTTTAATTTGGCTCAAAGGTTTGGGGAATAAAACAAAAGAAAGAAGTCAAAATTTTAATGTATAGAAATTGGCCTATTGAATGATAGAAGCTAAAAACTGGCAAATTATGTACACTTCTTCACTACTTTATAACAGCTGGATGCTTCGCTTTCTTTTTTTCTTATTTAGCAAAGACAAAACGTTTTCCACGACGGGCACCTCAACTCTGACCACGGACATGCTCTTAAGAGGGAAACTAAAACATTTCAGTCCTGGGAAAGCTTCATGAAATGGAAGGTGTTAGAGGAAAAAATGTCGAAATCTTGGTTCTTAAAACAGAGGGCTGACAGGAGAACAAAACATCATAAGACCTCTTGGTTCTACTGCAACAGAACAGGAGAATTTTCATCCAGAGGCGAGGGCAAACGGTCACTTAAATCACATGGAAGTTCTAAAACTGGTTGCTCCTTTCCTACCTTCATTACGACACGAAATGATGGAGTGACAAGAGAGGTTGTGGCCGAATACTGCCTGTATCACGATGGGCACAAGAGGGAAATCGCTTTTAACCAGATATCCTCTGAAATGCGCTCTCGCATAGCTAGGAAACTGGCACAAGGAGTGAGCATGAACTCCATAATGGATAATATCAGGGACACGCAATTTGGTCAACTAACTAGAGATCACTTGTTAACTCGTGCGGACCTACGAAACATCAAAAGACAATACAACATCGACTGTAAAGAAATGTCAGTGACGATGCCAGCAGCGTATTATACTGGGTGGAGGAAATGGAAGGAGAACAGTATAATCCGGTGCTCTGCTTTAAGCGTCAAGGACAAGACTCACCAGACGATGGGGTTGAGAAGAACGACTTACTTTTAGGCCTCCAAACCGAGTTTCAGAAAGAAATGTTTGTGAAGTATGCCCAAAAGTGGGTTGGTGTCGACGCTACTCAGGTACAAGAGCGTACGATTTTCAACTCATAACAGTACTAGTCATCGATGACTACGATGAAGGAATTCCCGTGGCGTGGCCCATTAGTAATAGAGAAACAGCTGATGTACTGCGTGATTTTTGTGTGGCTTACACGAACTGTGAGGCCACATTATGCCATGATCGGATTTACCCACGAGAGCATAGTTAGTAGAGGAGACTAACAACAGTACATCATGTGCCGCAGTCCCCTCTACTAATAACTATGACGAGAGTCAGCGCCTGCCACGTAGTCTTGTGTCATACGGCGCATTAGTTCGGCAATCTCGTTCCCAAGCCTTCGCTACCCTTGTCCGTTCCGCTGGACAATGGTAACGGCTCTGGGAACGAGATTGGCATTTCGGTTGTAAGCGTGGTCTCTAGCTATAGTTTCCCCTGCTTTTAGTTTTAAAGGTAAGCCGTTTTTCATTTTGAGCTTGGTCTTGAGTTCTGCATCTTGTCATTCCTATGACGTGTCGAAAATCTAGCTTCGCAATTAAGCACAAATAACGAAACCCGTTTGCAATTTTTGTTTCACTTTCAGGTGTTCATGCAAGTCGACAAATCGAGACAACGGCAGTAAAGTTCCTCGCGAAAGCTAGTACAGACTTGGCATGTGTCCAGTGCAGGTTCTACAGGAGCCACTGTACTTTTAAAAGCCAATATTCGTTGCTTTGAACCGTCAGAAGTTTAAAATGTCTCTATCGGTGACCACAAATTCAAAGACAGTACCGGTTGAGTTTGAAAACAATATAAATCACAGACGCCTTCTCAAGACTTTCGGAAACAAGAGGGTAACATATTTCAGCGCTTTACATTTGGAGAGAATAAGTGGAATTACTTGTTTACAGATGTAAATCACGGAAGAGGTTATTCAACGATCAGTTGACTGTAAAGCCGTCGATTTGTGGAGTATATTTTTACCCTTTTGAGTAAGTACGCTTCTTCGCCTCAGTTTGAGTATGAACTGCGTAGTTCCTAAAACAAGGAATGACCTAAAATGATCTAAAATGACCTAAAATGATATAAAATAACCTAAAATGATCTAAAATGACCTAAAATGATCTCAGGAGCCATAATCGGGGACGGAGACCGTAAGCGCGCGCTGTTTCTAGTATTGGGGCTGTCCCTATGATATGGGACAATTTTTCTATTTTTAGAACAAATTGCGCCATCATGTGCGGCACACGCGCGT